AATAATCAGTTGTTTGAAAACGCTTTCAACTTTCTGAACTTTTTAAAGAAATAAATTATTTCATAAAAATTTTTCCCCAACTTACCGACAAAACAAATTTCAAGTGACTTGTTGTTTAGATTTATATATTAAAAAAATGTTTGAGCGCTTTGTTTATACTAAGATGTTGTTTACTTGTTTAAAAATAAAATCCATGACAAAATTTACCAGAGAAAAATGAAAGCTCAGAAGTCGTTTGAATAGGCATTAAAAAGCGACAGATTTGATAAAGTATTTTGTGCTGCAGGGCTTTGCAGAATGTTTGCATAAAATTCTTCGAATCGGCCTGTTTACTATTATTCATTTTTTACATAAAACTTTCCTGCGGTGCTTTTAATGTGTATATTTTGTTGATTTTCTTTAAAACAAGAATTGCAATAAATTTACTTTAAGCTAACGATAACAGTATTTCAAAAAAATTTCAAGCTGTTAGAGTATTTTCGCGAATTATTTAAAGAAAAATTTATATTTTGCTTGGTTTTTTTGTTTAGAATCTAATCTTTATCGTCATTTGGTGCGTGCGATTGGTGATTTTAATAATCTTACTACATTTTTTTTTAAATTTTCCGTTTTATGGTCAAACGTAAAGTTTCAGGTTGAAATGGAAAAAGATACGGTTTAAGATTTTTTTTCCTTTCTTAGAGAATATTTTATATTTTTAGGACATTTCTTTTCAGGCTTTTCGCTATTTTAAAACAAACTGAATTAGATAAAGACTTCGGTTGATTTTAGAAATTTATGATAATTTTCCGTCAGACGTAAAGGTTTCTGGTTATGTTTAATGGTTAAAAAAAAAAATTTTTCCTTCTTTTAGAGAACACTTCATATTTTTAGGACATTTGTTTTCACGTTTTTTGCTATTTAAAACAAATTAAAATGAATAATTCGGTTGATTTTTGGAATTTAGAATTATTTTCTGGTTTATTTTCAAACGTAAAGGTTTCATACTATGTTTGTCTGTTTAAGAAATAATTTTTTTTCTTTCTTAGGGAATATTTTACATTTTTAGAACATTTCTTTTCACGTTTCTTTTCTTCTCCAATTTTGAAACAAATTTAAAAAGATAAACAATTCGGTTAATTTTGGAAATTTACGATAATTTTAAATAGTTTAACTGTTTTAAAAAGTCATATTAAATAGCACTAACAGTAAAAATTTTTAATGTTCCATTTTTATTTAGCGCAATTTAGATAATTTTAAGAAATTTTGTTTGGCAAATGTAATAAAATATTATATCATAGTATATTATGCAAAAATTTGTATCATATACCTGCATGAAAACCTTCATACTTAATCATACCCACTTAGATTAAAATTTTAAAACTATGACCATCATATTGAGTAACTTCAAAACTGAAATATTACACTTTAAAAGCTGTGGTGTGATATTTCTCGGAATTTGGTGTTAAATTACCCAAACAATGTGTAAAGGTACACTTTTTTTTCCAAGTGCATTTTCCTTCATATGTGCATTATATAATATAATATTTTTATAATTAAATATTATATTAAGATAATAGTCAAAATTTTAATTTTTTATCGTTTAGATTAGCCATTTGAACCAACCTCTAATAATAGTTTTGTGCCACTATCTAAATCAGGGGTTTCCAACTTACATGAGGCCAGGGGCCGCAATTAAAAACACCAGTCAAATGGCGGGCCACAACTTTATCAAAATTTTATATACGACTCTTTTATGTTTGAAGGAACATTAAATATTACTGTCAGATTTTTATCAAGCTGTAGAAAACTAAAGTATTGAATAAAAAGTCAAAATACGAAGTAGATTTTTACCTGAGATATAAATTTATTTTGCACCGTTGCACAGTGGGCCAGCATCCAAGGTTAATTAGTATTTCGATAAAATTTGTTTCAAAATTTGGGGGTTTTTATTTAGGGTTCTCATGTGCAGGTAAATTGAATTCATAGTTGAAATTTTGAAATACACTAAAAATACCAAAAAAAACAAGATGGCGGCTGAAATATNTTTCGTAATTTTATATTATAAATGAAAAGCAAATTATATTTCCGAAGTAATATTACAAAATAACGCGAAAACATGAAAAAAAACATAATTTTTGTTTTTCGATATATTTAGTCCACCTTTGCAATATGGGCAAAATGGGGCAGGTTTTTTCGAAAGAAGAAACATCAAAGAAGACAACAAAAAAAAGTCTAGCTAATTACCTCGTGGAACTCTTTGGGGATAAGTTTCGAAAGTGATTCAAACATTGTAAAATGTCCAATGATAAGATATAAACTATAAGTTTGTCAAGAGTATTAACTACTCCAACAAATTGAAAAATGTCACTATAATTTCAGACTAATTACTCTGATAAAAATGTAACAGAAAGGTTAAATTCCTATATATATTTCTTAAACATAAGTTTAAAAGTTACATTTAAAAAAAAATTTAACATATTTTTCATTACATTGTACTCTCGTCGGTCCAAAAAGTAAATTATAATGTTTGGAATGATTATGAATACTTAATTTGGGCGATATTAAAGCTGCCTAAACATATTTTAGTTGAAATTTAATTTCTGACTTTTGGCCAAAGATCATGGCCTTCTGGTCCACTGTGCGTTGTTATGTTAAATTTCACAGAAGGCTTTCTATAACGAAAGAAAAGTATTTTAAACCCGTAGAGATTTTTGACGAAAAATGTCCGCAAACAATAACAACTAAAATATTGTAATTCGCGGACCACAAAAAAAGTTTCGTGGGCCGGACGTGGCCCGCGAGCCGCCAGTTGGTAACCACTGATCTAAATAAGTTCCCAACTTTTTTTTTTTGGAATAACCAACTTCCAACCTTTTTCGTACTAATTTTATTCATAGTTTGTCAAAAACAATATGGAAATCCCTAAAAAAAATACCGATAATTTTATTAGTGCCCCCAAACACGTCTCACTGCCCCACAAGTGGGAGGTAATCGTACATACTGAGAACCTAAGGTCTAAATCAAGAAAACCAAAACATTTTACTTCTAACAGTGGTGATAAATTTTCATCCACATGAGTAATAGGGTCAATCACGTGACATACTTTATCATTGGAGACAGATTCTGTCTCGAGAAGTTTGTCACTGAATTAGACACTCAATGATTCCGAAAGATCTATTTTTATGGTTGTTGAGTTATTTAAGAATAAAGTAGAGATAGGATGTAACAGACTGAGTCATTAATAACACTGCAAGACAAAATCAGTTATCTATTTGTACTGCTTTAAGTGATCTATTTAACAGTTTTAGTGTTACTTTTAACATCCAGAATAAATTGTGCGCCAAAAGCATCAGGGATAACTTCTAAAATATATTATTAAGTATTATGTGTTTTTAATACAATTTTATGTATATAATAATAATTTTTAATATTGTTTCTAAACCAACGCCAACTAATTTTTATCAAATTGTGCACCAAAAATTAACACCTTCACGATCACAATCACAAATACATAATCGCGTCATTCAATATTTACGAAGCAAGTTATCATATGGGCCTTTCTAACTCTAGCTGCCCAAGATCACATGAACGCGATCTCAATACAGAGCTCTCATATTAGTACGTATACGTACTTTATAGTACGTATAATTAATAATACGCAGTTAGTACGTATAATTAATTCGGAGCTTGGGCCTGGGCAAGTACTCTTTTGAAGGGGTTAAACCCTTTTAATTTTTTGTTTTATTTTATTAAGTGAAATTTTTGTTTGAAGTATTTGTTTTTAAAGTATCGAGTTAGTTTCAAATATTTGTTTCTAAAAAATTGTAATTCCAATAAAAATTAAATTACTGTTTATAAATCACTTTTATAAATTGTTATTGCTTGGGAGCTATCAAATAATTTATTGAAATATTGCACCAAGAAGATATATCTTGTATACCTTTTGATATATAACATCCTACTGTTCGAATGACCTGTATACTAAATTAAATTATTTTGGCAATAATACTTAAAATTTTTAATACACCGAATATAACCACTCAAAAAAGTAAAAAATCTTAAATTTGCATTAAAAAACAAATTCATATTGTAAAGATGATCAACTGAATTTAATAAAGGACCACATTCTAAATAAAATATAATATGTATTTAATATAATATGCATTAGTATAATATGTGCCGACCGGCCTGTGTAGGGGGCAGGGAACTGTCCTTGCATCAGAAAGGTCCTGGGTTCGAATACCGGGCAAGGCATGAATGTTTCTTTCTCTCTCTGTGTGTTCTATGTCCTTTCTCCTTTATGTGTGAATGTGATCCGCCCTATAAACGGGTTGTGGTTGTGTGAATGGCGTGGCAGAAGTCGAATTCCTGGCCATAGATGGCGCCACTTAAAAACAGGAACAATCGCACCCCCACTGCATACGACAAAAAAATATATATATAATATGAATGCTTTTTTCAAAAGAAAAAAAGAAAAAAAACAATTTAGATTCAAACTTTGAAAAAAAGTCAGAAATGAGTATTTAAAATATTTTAGGAGTTCTTCATGCTAATATTTTTCTTCAGTTTTCCAGCAAAAAAAAAAATTTTGAAAAATAAGCCATTTTATCCTTTTTCTTACTTTTACTTATCCTGTCCATGCTTTCCGGAACATTAAGGCCTTCGTATCTCTCCATCTTTTCCTGTCCTTAGCAACCGACCTAGTCAATTTCCGTCCGGAAATTCCTACGACTATTAACTCATTTAACCTCATACGTTGTTTTAGAGTAAGTTTGGGCCATCCTCTTGTTCTTTTTTCCTTCTGGGGCCCATGTGAGAGCAACCGATGTAATTTTTTCTCCAGGCATTAAGTACATAACCCAGTCAGTTACATCTCCGTTTAAGTCTTCTATTGTCTTTATTTTTACATTTTTAAAAAGATTTTCGCTCGTTATCAGAGCATTTTAATTCTGAAAATGTAATGTCAGAATGAATTTAAATCAAGATTGTAATTTACATTAAATTATTTTATTTCATAGGGCGCGGGTTGCACTGCCTTAGTCGTTGCGGTCATCGCCCGGAAACTCGAGCTGACTAGAGCAGAGAAGCACGTTCACAACTTCATGATGGACACTCAGTTAACCAAGAGGGTGAGTTCAATTTTCAAATATCTTTAAAGATATTTATGAATATCTTTAGAGATATTTATGAATATCTTTAGATATATTTATGAATATCTTTAGAGATATTTATGAATATCTTTAGAAATATTTATGCAGTGTAAAATCTTTCAGCGTACTCGAGAAACACAGAATAAAGGTTAATATTAATTATCAATATTGTAATCATAATTAATAATAATTGTAATTATTTTGTTAATAATTACTGTAATTATTGTTCATCTCTGAAGAATCTATGCAGGAAAAACTGTAATGACCGCCTTAAATGAAAATTTTAGAATCCTTAAATTTGGAGGGGGGAAGTAACAATCAAGCAGGGCTTAAAACAAAACGCCTCATTTGCAATGTAGTCAATACAGTAACCCAAAACAATGCAAAGGTCATCTGAAAAGCAAGTTCCCCATTGTCCATAAAAAGAAAGAAAACATAATTTCCTGGAAAGATTTAGTTGATTATTTATGACTCAGTTGCAATATAGTCAATACAGTAACCCAAAACAATGCAAGGATCATCTGAAAAGCAAGTTCCCCATTGTCCATAAAAAGAAAGAAAACATAATTTCCTGGAAAGATTTAGTTGATTATTTATGTCTCAGTTGCAATATAGTCAATACAGTAACCCAAAATAATACAATGATCATCTGAAAAGCAATTTTCCCATTGCTCATAAAAAGAAAGAAAACATAATTTCCTGGAAAGATTTAGTTGATTATATATGACTCATTTGCGATATAGTCAATACAATAACCCTAAACAATGCAAGGATCATCTGAAAAGCGAGTTTCCCATAGTCCATGAAAAAAAAGAAAACATCATTTCCTGGAAAGATTTAGTTGATTATATATAACTCATTTTCAAAATAGTCAATACAATGACCCAAAACATGCAAGGACCATCTGAAAAGCAATTTTCCCGTTTTCCATAAAAAGAAAGAAAGCATAATTTCAAGGAAAGATTTAGTTGATTATATATGACTCAGTTGCAATATAATCAATACAATGACCCAAAACAATGCGAGGATCATCTACAAAAGCAATTTTCCCATTGTCCATAAAAAGAAAGAACAATAATTTCCTGGAAAGATATAGTGAATTACATTCAGAAATATTTCAACTTCTTCTAAATCTGAGGAAGCTGAAATACGCATGAATAGGCATATTTCCCGCATGGGATTTATATTTGACTCCCCATCGCGCGAGAGGGAAAATACACCATATAAAATTTTTGTTCAAATTAGCAGATTATTTTCCTGCTGTTTAAGAAATCTAATTAATAACACTGGAGAAAAGAAAATTTCCTTTGCATGAGACTTTTTAACGGATCTGGGATATTTTCATGTCACTAATTTCAAATTCAAATTTAGCATCGGTTTCTCTCACCAAGCTACTGTTTCTTTTAATGGCATTTTTAATCTCTTTTTTGCAGAAATGTACCGTTTTAAAAACGTTATGTGTTGCAGGGGGTCGCATAAATGTTGCGACTAAAGTTCTAGGGAAATTAGGGCACATTATCAGGATTAAAATTGCATATCAATCCATGTCCGGAAAAGTCGTCATAAACCGCAAGGGGCGCTTCTCTAATATGAATTGTTTCTTCATGTGCCTCTGAACAGGTCAAAACATGGAAAGCGCCCCTAACCAACACCCCCTAGAAAAGGGAAGGCCTTAACACGGATGAATTTAGTAGTCCGACATAACGAACATAAACTGCGCAGTGGAAGTGATTAATAAAAATGACATGGCTACGCAGTAGGAGGAAATAGGAAGCTGCGCAGTAGGAGGAAATATTAAAGATGTCATTACGTTTGGACTACTAAAGGATCAAAGTTCTTGTTTATGGTAACCCGTACTGAGGCCTTCTTTCTTCTGGAAGGTATTGCCCTAGCAGCGTACGACGACGCTTCCGGAGGTGGTTTCCTACGCAATTTTTATTCTGATTATGTGCCCTAACTCCCCTTAAAAAGGTCACCTCAAACTTCCGGGTGCAAAAAATGTTTTGAGAAGTGTTATTTTCTTATTTTCACTTTAAAATTGGTTAGTAACATTTTCTCAATAAATTGCTTAATTAATAACTACTTTAATAACATGTCATTATGTATGAGTTAAACATGTATTGGTTTTTCGATGGAAAATAAGATTATTCATTTTAAAGTGTGCTCCATATTTAAAAAGTTTACTTATGTCTATATAAATTTCTACACACACCCTAGAAGTCTTCAATAGGTTTGCAACGTTTACGTTGCAAACCTATGATCTAGAACAGCAGTCGGATTAACTACATTATTCTTGTAGTTTACTACAATTACAACTACTTTGTTACAAATTTAGTTAACTACAACTATTTTTTTTTAATTGTAATGACTACAAACTACTTTGGAGTTAGTAACTGGGAGATGAACTTTACTGGAGAATTTAATTTTTGCCTATGTTTAAAATGGTTTTGAATAAGAAATCGGCTTATACTAAATATAAGGGAACAATTAAGAATTATTTTTTCATGTTTACATAAGCCAGTTTGCTATTCCGAAACATTTTTTGTCAAATTTGTTCATTTAACCTTCAACTTTTTATGTCTTTCTCGACAGCGAATATTTAATTTAACAAACTATCAAATACTTGCAATTGTTTAATGCTTTTATTTCCTGTAAGAAATTAAGAACATCGAAAATACTCTCCCTTCCTTTGAAATAACATCAATGCTTCACGAGTCAGTGTTCGCATGTGAAAATGTGACAGAAGTGATTAATTATCTAGTTTTCGTTGTTGTTAATTTATATAATAGTTATACTCTATTTAAAATACGTGATTTCTATTAACACTCAGTCATAAGGTCATTTTCATTGTATCCATTGACGAAACCTCGAACTTACATCGAATTTGAAAGATTAGTAGCGTTAGAGCCGTGTTACTATTCTAAACTAGCGTTAAAAGTAGTTGACTGGAATCGCTACAAACTACTGTTTTTTTCTATCACACTACTTTTTTTAAAAAAAAAAATAGCCCGCTACACTACAAACTACGAAAAAAAGTAGTGCACTACACTGCAAACTACGAAAAAAAGTAACGCACTACACTATAAACAACGAAAAAAAGTAGCGCACTACACTATAAACTACGAGAAAAAGTAGCTCACTACACTTCAAACTACGAAAAGAAAATAGCGCACTACACTACAAACTACGAAAAAAAAGTTGCTCACTACACTACAAGCTACGAAAAAAAAGTAGCGCACTACACTACAAACTACGAAAAAAAAGTAGCGCACTACACTACAAACTACGAAGAAAAAGTAGCTACTACAGTAGTTTCACTACTTGTAATGCGCTGCTTTCGACCACTGATCAAGTGCTACAGTTTCTAATACTTTTTACCCAGTAATATATTCTCTCTGTGATTGATTACTTAAAGCAACGTGACTTTATCATTTCTCTTACGTTTTTGAAACCTTAAGTCACCCTACAAGCTTCTTTACTTTGAATGTTAATGCAATGAAAAATATCCATTGATTTTATTCGTTATAAGGCGACAATTTTTCTCTGTTCCTTTTTTTAGTGTCATAAAGAATAGGAACCATTATATTTCAAAATAATAATTTTTTGAAAATCTAAACTATAAGTATCTTTATAAAATTAAGAAAAAATTCTTTGCGATTTCATTAAAAACAACGTTTATAATCACAAATGGATAAATTTTTATTAAAGCCTATACACATTTCGACGAACAATGGTACACCTTTATCAGTAAGATAAATGGTAGGAATGGTAAAAACAAAGATGATTCAATCCGACAGTAACGTAATGCTATAGAGATAAATATACAGTTAAAGGTGAAGTATTAAAATGACAGAAAATTGAAAAATTTATTATTTTGAAATGTTTGACAAATATGTTATAACAGCAAAATCATTAATTTAATGATTTGGTGAGCTTGTTAAATTAGTCACCAAATCATTAAATTACGATTAAAAATTTAATACTAAGCCAATTTAAATGCAATTTTCGACAATAATTATTAGAAAACATAAAATTAAGATGTTGTCATAGGCCATTAATGCACTGGAGGTGCGATTTTTCTTGTTTTTCAGTGGCGCCATCTATGGCCAAGAATCTAACTTCTGCCACCCCCATACGACACATCCGTTTATAGGAAGGACCCATTCATACATTGATCCATTCATCAACAGATCGTAATTTTGAACTGAACTAGAGAACGATTAATACCCAGTCCAGTACTCATAGAGATATACTTTGTTATGGGAACATGGAGGACTTTGTGACAGACTGATTTAACAAGCACCAGTCAACAATTACTACGTCTTCAGCCGGCTGGATTCGAACTCTCGTTTTCTCGAACTTGAATAAAATTAAGATAATTTAAATAAATATAACTACTTGTTCAAAAGCACAAGTAGAAATAGTTTCTAATAGAGAAGCGTTCTGGCGTACGATGACATGGCGGGTTCTTAAGCAATTCTTAAACCTTGAAATGGGTCCCACCACTGCTAGAAATTTGTCGGTCTGGTAGTGAAAATCCTGTATATATTAATCAAATTATCTTGATTTAACTGATACTTTAAAATCTCGAGAGTTTTACCAATTGTTTGCCTTTAATAATTTAGCCGCTTGCGTTAAATTTTAATATTTTAAAGCAAAATGTGATGGACTATATTTTATTCCACAGTTAAAGAATGCTGCCGCCAACGTGTTGAGAGAAACTTGGCTTATATACAAGCACACTAAACTAGTTAAAAGAGTGAATCAATCAAAAGTCAGAGCACATCAAAGGAAGTTCCTTTTAGCCATTTATTGGTGAGTTTTTAATCTAGCATTTATATAAATTTTCTTTGTCTTGTAAAATTACTTCAAATTCACTTACGAAAACAATTTATTGAAACGAAGATTGTGAAATAGTTTGTGAGATATGTGAGATGGCTGCCGGCTGTGATCAGATCAGGGGCATTTAAGTTCATAGTCTAACCACCATAGTCTAACCACCATATACTCTAACTACCATGGCCTAAAAGGATGTACAGAGCCAACTTTTTTTGCGTTTATTAAAGTACAATGAGTCCAAAAAAAAAAACAGACCACCCTGAATAACTTTTGATCTAATGATCGAATCTTTACGTTCTAGGACTCAATCTTATAGGTTTGGAGGGGTGACTTCAAATATGCTAATTAATAATATGCGCGGAGGATATTTTAGGAAACGGAATCAGACACAAAAACGTACTTTATCTGAATAAACATACATTTTTTCAACGGATATAGATTTCTGACCCCTGAAATATAGGTGGTTGCCACAATCTGGGAAACATGGCTACAGTAGTTTGGTCAAAAAAGAGCTCCAAAGTCTTGACCCTAATGTTAATTTTACTTTTTGCGTATTTCGCCATATCTCGGGAAGCGAAATGAAAAAATTTTGGTAAGCTATTATAATACTCTTTTATCCAAAGATAAACAATAAATAACTTTCAGTAAAGATTTTTTTTATTATTTTATTTATTAACGGTCGAAAAATTTTTGAATTTCAAGGTATGGAATTTTTCGCATCTTTTTAAAGAATATAATTTTAAGTGATAAAATACTAGATTTGAACAAAATCGGTCGAATGGTTCCCGAGAAATTGAATTTTAAAAAAAAGTCAAGATACTTAAAATTCGATTTCTCAGAAACTATTCGACCGATTTTGCTCAAATTTTTCATTTTTCTACATAAAATTACATTCTTTAAAATAAAGCAAAAATTGCACATTTCAAAATTTTCTTACCAATCTTAAATAAAAATTTTAAAAAATATTTTAAAAATAAAGAAAAAATTAATAAAAGTTATTTTTGCATGAATTTATCCTTTCATAAAAGAATTTTATAATTGTACGCAAAAAAAATTTTTATTCGCTTGAGAAGTTCTCGAGATATGGTGAAATACGCAAAAATTAAACTTAGCATTAAGGGGTCCAAACTTTGGAGCGCACTCCTGACAAAACTATTGGCACTATATTTCCCAGATTGCAGCTGCCCCCTATATTTTGGGGGTCGGAAATCCAAATCCATGAGGGGGAGGTATGCTTATTGAGAAAAAATACGTTTTTGTGTCTGATTTCATAACTTAAAATATCGTCTGCACTTATTAATCAGCATATTTGAAGTCACCCCCTCGAACCATGAAGATCGTGTCCTAGAACATAAACATCCGATCATTAGATCAAGAGTTATTCAGGGTGGTTCGTTTTTTATTTAGCACTGCACACCCCTAACCTAAGAGGTTTAAAAAGCTTTATATAAATGAAACAGCAAATAGTTCCATAACAAACTGTACCAACAGAAACGAAGGAAAAAAAATTTAAAAAAAACTTCTATTTCAACCAAAGATAATGTTGTAAACATGAACAAAATATGCTGAATTGCTTTATAATTGCATGAAAAATGTGAATTTCGTTATCAAGACTTGGGAAAAATATTCCTCCAGTATCGGGCTTTCAGAATATCGACAAAATTTATCGATCAGTTTACAACCCGATTTAAATATATCTGGTGCTCCGTAATCAACACCCTTAATGTATATTTTTTTGAAATCTTAACACAATGAAGAATACACATTTAGGGATGCAAATTAATATTTAAGTGAAGAAAAGATGCAAATGCTTTCGACAACTGACAAATGACTGGAAGAGACTGGAAACATGAAAAGGTGTTTTATTGCCGCAAGAGAGAATGGATAGTTTAAAAGCGATTATTAGAAACACCTTTAATTTTCATCAGATAATCAAACTGGTTTTCATTCCATAAATGATTCGACAGAGAACGTTTTATTTCTCATTTAAATATTAATTTGAGTTCTCTGATGTGTTGCTGTTTCTACTGCCAATGCCAGCAAGCCTGCTTGGGAAACAACACGAATTTAAGGTAGAGGGTGCGTTTCTTGTTTTTCAGTGGCACCACCTGTGGCTAAGAATACTATTTATAACACACACACGTCACAGCCTGTTTTACAAGGCAGACCCATTCATTCATCCACAGATCGTAATTTTAACCTGAATCAGAGAACTATCTCTATCAGTATCCCTAGAGGTATCGATTTTTTATGAGAACTTGGAGGACTTTGTGACCCTGACAGATTTAAAGTTCACTAGTCACTATTTAATGGACGGGGAATCTTCGTATGACGGGATTCGAAATCCTGTTCTCACGAACACGAGTCCAAAGTCCTACCAACCAGGCTATCCCGACCCTCTCGAATGTGTATATTATGTTAACTTGTTTTTGACAAGAATTCGAAGGATATTTAAGGCAGAGATTGCAAAACATTTTGTATAACGTTGTTCTTTTCCTTTTTAGTCTTAGAAAAGTAAAAATGGACCAGAGAAAACTTATGGACAATGCAAACACCATCACAGACATGGCTAAGGTAATCTTCTTGTTTTTTTTATTTTTTTAGTATTTAAAAAAAAAATTATTTTAGAGAAATAAAGATTAATACTTTTATTTATTTATTTAATTTTTTGTTCATCTGCTTATTTTCTAATTTATTTATTTATTTTATTTATTGTTTTGAATGAAAAAATTATATTCGTACTTTTTTTTTAAGTCATGATGGACCAAAACAGATATAAATACCTTTCATGAGTTACTTGCTTTAAATAATCCATGAAAAATTATCATTATATTACGAAGAATTTATCTTTTTTTATTAAATACGTAATTTGCCGATGTGACACTTCCTGCTTTGTTTTTTTTTTTTTTTTTTTTTTTTTTTTTTTTTTTTCATCCTTTTTTTCTAAACCAGGCATAGTTTATAGCACCATTTGTTTTGCTACATTTAGCATCAACAGCATAGCCGTTCCTTAGCCATTAAATTGCACACTCGTTTATTTCAATTTTTATAAAAATTGACTTTGTTTTTCAACATTTAACCATTAAATAATACTCCTCTACTATTTTTTTAAATATTTAAAATTATTTCCAACTGACTAATGTTCATAATATTTAATCCTTCAAATTTTCCTGTTTAAATTTTTAAAACAGAATTAATGATACTGCTATAAATGTTGAACATGTACAGATGTAACCCTTAATTTCAAAAGTTTTACGATTAAAATATGCTATTTTTATTCTAAGCTAGGAAAATTAAGGACTGTATTTTACTGCAAACGTAATAAATTAACTATTTAATAAACAAACTGTTACTTCGCAAAACTCAATTTTAATAAGCTTAGCTTGAAATCATTTTATATACAATCACAGCATGAATTTCACATACAGAAGTAAATAACATTTAATTTAGAACAAAAATCAAACATACTAGAAACAAATTTCTAGAAAATTGCGATTAAGCAATCTTATCTATGTACATTTTCGCTTCTTTAAACAATAATTTAAGAAAGAGTTACCCGAAGAAATATTTATATGCATTTATTAAATGTTACAATTGGCGAACTTCAGCTAAGAATTATTGTCTTCTTAAAATAACAACATCAAAACTTCAAAGAAAATGCTTAAAATAAAAATGATGAAGTATAGATTGCAAAATTATCAACATGATAGAAAATTTTTAATTAAAACAAAATTATGACTGATGAACTTTCCTGAGTTAAGTAAACTCTTCAGTTAGGTCCTCTCATTTTTAACAAAACATTGCTCTTAGTTAAATATTTAACCTAAAAACTAACGATAAAGTTAAACTATAAATTTACTTTGTACATATTTGCTTATAAAAATAATTTCGAATATTTTCTCGCTTATATTAGAAATAAAATATAGAATAATTGGATTTTTTTACAAATACAAATTTATCTTAAAATATTAATAAGTTTTCCAGTTTACTTAGAAACAAAAATATCCCTTTGAGCAAAAACTTATTCCTTTAATCAACACCAAATCAACCTAATAATAAATTTAGAAATCTTTCAGATTTTTAACTCTATATTTTCAAAGTTATTTTATTTCAAAACTACTAGATTTTTACTGAGAATGCGTGGCCTCTTTTAGGTGAACAGAATATCTAATAAAATGCGAAAGAAAGCAATAAATATTTTACACATTCACGTGCATATATGATTTGCCTGAACCGTTTGATTTGCGCATTCATCCGTATGATTTGCACATTCATCCGTAGGATTTGCACATTCATTCGTATGATTTGCATATTCATTCGTATGATTTGCACATTCATCCGTATGATTTGCACATTCATCCGTATGATTTGCGCAGCACAGTTACTACATAACATTCTCGGTTCCCTACAGAGTTCAGCAAATCCGTGATCTTGAACAAGCAAGATGCTGAGCGAAAATGCAGCATCTCTCTAAATTTAATATGATTACTGTTTGTCTGACAGTGGGGTGTACAAGTTAAAACATGAAAGGTTTCAAGTAATTTTAAAGTGTGTCAAAAACTAAGTGCAAATAATACAAAGTTAATTCTAATTAACAAAATATATTTACCTTACCTCCATCGGTGCCCTCAAATATGTAGGTAATAAATTGAAATATGTACATGGTGAAATAAACTAATATTTAAGGAGCAATGCAAGAATCGTATTAAAAATTTCGGGATTTCGTCAGCAAGCCCATATATTAAGGGGACCGGAAAGTAATGCCGTTTCGGTGCATTTGATATTTGTTATCAAGATTTTATTTTCAATCAATAACGTATTCACCCTCGTTAGCAACAAGCTTTCAATGCCATATCGAATAAAATGAATTGGTTTTTAAAACTAACGAATATTTAATGCGTCGAAACGACTTTACTATCCAGTCCCCTTAATAAATAGGAGCTTTTCCCGCAGTAAGTATAGTAGTTCTCAATGTGTATTAAGATATCCCATTGACACGACAACCTCAAGATAAATTATATACAAACATGCTGTTATATGAGCAGTAACTATTAAATTTGAGTGCTACAAAATAGCTCTATTGTTTGGAAGCTTATAGATATGTAATTGTGAAACATTAACACAAGAAAGACTGAATCGTAGTATATACCTATATTGCCCAAAAGCAGTCAAAGTGACTGAATTGTAAAAGTGTAAATAATGTGTAAAAAAATTTGCTTAAAATTAATTTTTTATATTATTTACATTTGCGTAACAAGTTATTAGTAAATATAATCAATAAAAAAATTATATGTTGTACAAAATTCTAAGAAATTGTGTCATTATATACATCATTGTTTTTCTAATTGATATTAAAAGCAGTTAAAATGACTTCCTTAGGCAATCTAGTGTTAAGGACTGTTTCATTAGTCTCTTATCCAAACGAACCCCTGTACTCAGTATTAAATCGATTGCCATTGCGTGACATGTGGATCATCCCAACTGTTTTATTTTGAAATAAATTTTGACATTGTAAAGTAAATGTCTTCGTAGCCATACGAAAGTGTCAACCAGTTTTGTCATGTAACGAGTTCTGCTTGTTTGTGTGTGAGAAAGAAAATCTCAGTCCTTACCTAGATATGAAATGCTGTTGCTGTTGGCATCCCATATATGTTCAATAATGTTCATGTCTGGGGATTTTGGTGGCCAGCGGAAGTGTCTAAATTCAGAAGAGTGCTCTTGGATCCACTCCCAGACATGAACATTATTGAATATATTTGGGATGCCTTGCAACGTGATGTTCAGAAGATATGCCTACCCCCTCTTACTCCCACTGGTTTATGGACAACCCCGCAGGATTCATGGTGTCAATTATCTCCAGCACTGCTTCACACATTGATCGAATCCATGCCACGTCGTGTTGCGGCACTTCTGCGTGCTCGCGGGGGCGATATTAGGCAGGTATACCAGTTTTTATGGCTCTTTGTATCTTCATAATCTGTGCAAAATACACTTTGGGTGTCACAAATTAATGGATTTATTTTTATTAAATTAAATTATTATTAATGAATATTATTATTTTCAGACGCAAAACTCTGTCTACGAAATGGTTTCTGAAATGAACCAGCGACATGAAGTTCTTGAAGAAAGAGTATTATCATTAGAGGAACGTTTAACTCTAATACAAGATCAGCTGGAGGCTCTTCCTGATGTCTTAACAAAAGCTTTATCAGCCCTTCCCACATTCAGTTCTACAGAAGGGGGGCGGTCACAAAGTGACGCACAGCAATTACAAGCCCCCCAACCAAGTAGCCGCCATGTATACCTTCATCCTGATGATGCTGCATCCTTGGCAAGTAGACCAAACTGGACATCTGTCAATTTAGCAAGTAGTAATAGAACTCCACCACCACCCCTAGTGGTGCCACGTGCTTTATCAACAGAGAACTAAAAGTGAAATATCTACACGAGAAAAAACAATAAAACTTGAACGAAATATAATCGATTCAGACGAAATGCTGAGCTGGAAAGCATAATGCTTTAGAGAGCTCAGAACATTTAGTATGTCGATCATATGAACCTGGGAACATAAAGGGCTTGGTAGAACAGTACTTGTCCAAGTAAATAAAAGATTATACAGCTATTACGACTTGAAGTTGGTTATAACCATACTGAGTCATAATTAAAGGCAAAGAGTTTTAATCGAAATGACAAATCATTGCTGGTATCGATTAAACAATGAATGTTTAATGTACCAAGTACATATGTACGTCATTCTGAAATATTATTTCCACATTTAGTGGAGCATACACGCACAAAAAATCAACAATTTGTTTTATCAATGAGAAGGTATCTGAACTATTTTAATTGATGCTCCTTTTTAATTAATACTCATTTTTCAAAACCTTAGAGTCTAACAATGCTCTAAAACTCATTTTAATCACTGTGAAAGCAGTCATTATATGCACAGTTATAATAAGCGCACTTAGGAATAATTCGGAAGTTACAAAATTAAGCTAAGCAATTTCATTCATAAAACCCCACGCGTAATTTATTTGTATGTTTAAGTCTTATTTATTTTAGTTATTCAAAATAAAAATTGAAACCAGCACAGCTTTGTCTTTTCGATCCCTCGTGCAAAAAGAACTAGTCCCAGAATATACGAAAAATTCCTTTTTTCGTTTCAAGTGCTTGTGCATACTGGTGTCTGAAGATATATCATAAAAAAAAAAACATTTTGTTTTGTAGAGAAGTGCAAAACAAGACATTCTGATAAAACTTTACATATAAAAACTTAACTCTGGTTGTCATTCATAATCAGGGTGTACTTGCAATGCTGCAGGATCACATTGCCGATTAATCGATGGAGCCAACTTGCATTTTTAAGCAAAAGACCGACGTCCACTGAAATAACATTTCTTCTGATGCTTAAATTCAAATTATTTTGAAGAAAATTACATAAATAAATGCCTTAATTTGCTTAAGCATTTCAACACATTTATTACATATTCTATCTGATGAAGATTACACGTGCTACTTCTAACGCTGGGTTGCAATTATTTTGTGCTTTGCAGCAGTTTCTGTTCTTTGATACGATACATGTCGTATATTATTGCCTTACGCTTAGACGTTTACTATATTTCTAAGAGTAAGACTATAGAGCAATGTAGGACAGTATTTCTTCTTTTTTTAATTCATAGACTTATGAGAAAACATGGCAATTAATTAATCAGAATACTAGTACTGTATGATTAGCTGTCTTCTTAAATATATTTGTACGATAAAGTGGGATTGGGAATCCTGTTGTACATAAAACTCTGAATGAAGCTTAGCAAAGAATGACAAGTTACTTAAAAGCTCTAGTAAAAACATCCTTCAAGAGATGGTGCATAACTAGAGAAAGTATAAAAATATAATAGAGAAAGATTGTATTTTTCGATAAATTCAATGTGATATGAAAGAGGTGCCGATTATAATGACCAATGTGCAGTTTAAAGGCACAATATTATAGATATTTAATCCTAATACTATTCTCCTATCATTAAAACAATATCAATACTTTTTTATAAATGAAGTATTCTATATTGTTTATAATTTACATATTATTTACTGTTCATAATGAATCTCTGTGAATTAATTTCTACTGTAATCAACGGATAGAGATTCTAATTTCAAAAATACACGTACAGTGTTTGTTATTACTAAATGTTTGTTCAAGCTAACTTTCAGTAAATTTCCCAGGTTAACAAGCTATGAAAGTAAAGTATATAAAATATTATAGCAGAAAATGTAAGCTTTGAAAACTATCCAATACTTTCAATATGAAAACAATGAATAATATAAAAATATATAACATGCAACTGAAATCCATTCTGCCACAACTTTACACTAAGATAAATTTTATTTATAAGGTTGCTCTCTGTAACTTCATGAAAATACAATAGTTGTCATCAAAGTTAAAATTTATATCACAAAAATATAAGAAAATTTAAAGGTTGTCTTTAAAATTAATCAATATTTTCTATAAAGATGAAATAATAAATTTAGGTTTTTAAAAATTCGGTAATTTTTTATGAGTCTGTAGAAATATTTAGCATACACCTAAATCTTCTGAAATAAACCCTTAAGCTACATTTCCTTCATAAATTTGTTTTCAATGAGTCAAAATATATGGTAACTTGATTAATAGTTTCGTTCAATATATAATTTACATGGTACAAGCTTTAATGAGAATATTTTTTTAGAATCAAGTCCTCATAATAATGCAAATTAAAAATGTTTTTAATAATCATCATTTATGACCACTGAATTTTATTTTAAAAATAAGAATTTTAAAAAAACATCAAAAGCATCACAATTTCAAGAAGTTATAAAAAATATCATGAATCAGTCCTCTTAAAATTAAATTTTCTTAACAAAACAAAATAGCTCAGAACAAAAATGTTTATCGAAAGCATTGATAGGAAGAATCACGAATATTTTTAAATAAATATTATTTAAAAAACACTTAAATTTCTATTCGTTTTATTAGGATTTAATTTATTACCACATAAATCAAACAATTTCAAAAAAATTTACTTCTTATTTATTCACAATTCTGGCAAATCATAATGTAACCTCTAACTTCCTTTCAGAGTTTTTAACCTTAATAATAAACCTTAAATAAAATATTGTAGAAGGTAATTTGTAATAAAAATTATAACTGCGACTAAAAATAAGTAATTTGTTTATTTTTAATTCATTTCTATGTTTTATCAATAAATTCTTGTGTTTCATTAAATTTTTTAGACTTCCCCACCTTGATTGTGATACGTAACCTAAAATTATCAATTTTTCAAACATTACAGAATTATAACACAATGTTTCGGTCAATAAATGCTTATATTAATTAAAATATAATTGATAAGTTCAGAAACAGGTCATATGCGATTGATTTCATAGACTCATTGATTCAAATTATAAGCAGATTTCCAAGTAACATACCAATAAATACTAGAAATAATTATAATCGCAGACATATTTTTTAGTTAATAGCAATTTTTAAACACTTGAAAGTTGACTGCAATCTTTGATTTGACGAAATAAAGGAAACATTGTAATGTTTTTCCCATACAAATGCTTTTTAAAAGATAAGATTCCTTGATAATAGTTTTTATGGGCTGAAACTTGAGTCAAATTATAAATTTTGTAAAAGAAAAATCCATCTGAATGAATACCAAATACACAAACTGGCTCAACTGGTTTCTTTCAAACTTTTCCCAGCCACAAGTTATTGTCTGGTATAATAACTGGCTTAACATATAACTCTGGTATATTAACTTAGTCTTATTTGGATTATCTTAACCTTTAAATGTATGATTTTTTAATAGAAAATGTTTGAAATCAACCAGAAAATGGGTTAAGAAAATGGAAAAATAAGGAAAAAATTATGTAAGATTTTTCACTTTGATATCATCATGAACAATCACTCCTTGAGTTCCACAAATCTACAATAATATAATTTTTCAAACACAAATTTTTATATGAATAATAGTTTTGAACATAATTGCTTCTATAAATAATTGTAATTTGCAAAACCTCCTAAATGAAATTGTATTCAGATAGTCCAACATTGAAAATTGTCCCAGATTAAGAAATAAACTGTCTAAGATTCCAGTTGATTTCAGAAATTAAAAATAGCTTTGATAAATTTAAAATTGATTTAAAAAAAAACACCATGCAAAAAAATATGGTTTTAAACGTAAGTTGCAGATTTCATCGTTATACTTTTAAGGGTTAAGTATTCTACGAATTCATTACTTTCATTGCTTAAATTACTTTCAATCAAATATCAATAAATTACTAATTCACAAAACTGCAGATAAAGAATGTTTCTGCGACTTTTAAACTTATCGCATTAGCATAATTAATTCATAAAAGTTGCTGAAACCTCATTGGATTCTTTCACTCTTTAAATAATTCAATTACCATGTTTTATTATCCTGATTATTCAGTGCAAAATGTTAAATCAAACAAAGAATCTTTAGAACTGGTCTCTTATTTTAATTTTAACTTTTCCTTCGATTTCAAGCCTAAAATCAAATCAAAAATAAAGCTACTCCTCACAATGAAATAACCTTGCACACCTTTTTAATACAAATTCACTACAGCAATTTTGCTCTAAATTGCTAAAAAAAAACACTCCATGCTTAATACTTATGTAAAGTGTAGAAATTGTATTGAAAAATTAGCAAATTGTTAATTTGGAGTATTTCTTCAAAAATGCTTAAGAAAATAATATTAAGCAGCAGATGTTTGCTTTACGAAGTATAAAGCTATTCCACCACTTGTCTCCATGTCCTTATAAGGAACTGCATAAAGCTTCACTATAAAGCACACATATTGTTGAAGAAAATATTTTTGCCACAAATTAGGTTAAATGGTTAATCACACATTATAAATTTGGTTAGGTTATTCCCACAGATAATAAATAAAAACTACAACTTCTGAAAAAAAATCAATTAGGATAGTTTTAAAAAATTTATCTCAAAGTAATCTAACCTAATCTATAAATGTAATACAATCAATCTGAATCTTTAAGTGGTTGTGCAAAATAGGCAAATTCAAAAGAGGCCAAATGGGCAAATTCCCCACACACCCTTTCACTTCAAATTAATACCAATATGACCATGATTATTTCTTTAACTAACATAGCTTTTGCATACGGGAAGATTAAATTAAGTTCGTGATGGCAAAATATACACTTTATTTAAAATTAGATGAGATATTTTTTATAAAGATATAGGACTATATGCTATACTATAAGCTAACTATCAAACTATAAGCGAAACAAACAGCAGTAAAAAAAGGTTCCGGCAGGAAAAGGTAAAGAACATACTAAAATCCATAAGAAAAGTCAACATAAGCTTTATTCAACCAGTCAGTTTTAATATATATATATATAAAGAAGTCCCCTACAGTAACCAGCTTGTACTACTAGATGAACTCATTGCTTCTCAGTTACATGCCGTCTATCACCTGTACGAACTCACTGCTTTACAGTTCAAGTTCGTTCCTGTTACCTTTGGCAACAATTCTCTGAATCCTCAATGCAACTGGATAAATCAATAGCCACTTGGTTCACTTACGCTTACTCCCCGATTCGTGATCTCACATAGCACATAGCACACTCCCCGCTTCGTGATCTCGCATAGCACATAGTACTAACTCGATATAGCACTAACTCAACATAGCACTAACTCAACATAGCACTAGATCCCACAAAGCACTAACTTGATATAGCACCAACTCGACATAGCATTAGATCCTACATAGCACTAACTTACCTCTTTGCGGTATAATGGCACAAGAATGGAATGAGCAATTCAGCACAAGGCTAATTAATATGATAATTAACTAACATGAAATAACATTTTTTTCAGCTTATATTTGATAAGGAACGTATGGTTCAAGTCAGAGACTTCTGTTTTCGTTGGAACATATTATTTTCACTAACCTCAATTATACCACTAATCACAAAATATCAAAATAAAGAATTTTTTCTTAATTAACAAAAAATAACTCTAAATGCTTACATAAACCATTACCAATTAAGACTTATAAAAATAACTCAAAAATGGTAAGTAAATGCAAAAAAAACTACAAATATTATCAACATCCACGTTTTGATCCTATTTTTTTTCCTTTTTCAATTGATTTACATAAGATATTGTTATCTAATCAAACTATAGGAGCTTCATATCATAAAAATATTATATACATAAAAATTGAGCTTAATACTTTGTTGTTTGACAGTATAATTTAACTTTAACTTACAAACATAACCATATCTTAGAGATCTATACTTCTTTATCTTAGTTAAATCATTTCACGCGCT